TACAGAATTTTTGGCTACCAAGCTACTTTATGGGATTTTTAAACATATTCCCTCCCCTCCCCGCAAAAATTAAGTAAATATTTCAGACCTGAAGTTTTCTTCAAGTACATTGTTAGCTTCCAAATATTTTGCAGTTTGCCTACAAACCTTTCATCTGATGTAAGTATGAGAAAAGTTCATCTTGATAATATAGTATGATGCAGTACTGGTACTCCATCCTGGATGACATGGATTGATTCCTTGAACCTCTAACCAGTGACGCCAAGATTTTTCTGGTCATATCAATCTCTTTCTTCAGAATAATTCAACTAAATCTATTCTGCATAGTTATTTAGTGGTAGAGGGACACAGATATCCATCTTTGATGTCTATCATTGATTCTTCTGGTCCAGTCAGTGAGTAACATGTCAAGGTGCCCAGGCAAGCACAGGACTCCAAATGTGCCTTCCTAAGTGTGTTCACACTATTCTCCTTATGGCTCTGAAAGGGCCATTGAATACAGAGGCAGACAATGATTATATTTACATTAAATGAAATTAAGGCAGAATGCCCACCTCTTTAACTTTATGCTCCTTTAATGGACAATCATTCTTCATCTTTCCCCTTCAAGCCAGAGGATGCTCAAAAGGCATAAAACTGGCTTCATTTTAATAAGACAAAATAAGAGGCCTGCCAGATCGAAAATGACTAAATTATGTTCAGTTTAGGGGTTTCACTTTGCTGTTTTGCCTCAGGCTTTGGGGACATTAAGGCCATGTTATAAATCCTGGCCAGTGCTTTCTTCTAAAGAGCAAAAATGAGAGTTTATTAGTATCACAGTGGTTGCCTCAATAATGACAAAACAGTTGCTCATTACTGCTCATTAGATTCATATTAGATTCATTTGCAGGAGTCATACATCTTCTATTCAGAGTCGATTGCAAAACAACGGATATGATTTGACACCTGCTGTAGGACCGAATTCATTAGATGGTAATAACACAAACAGGAATTCAAGGGATGGCCTTCTGCTTGGTCCCGCTTGGAAGGTTTGGAAAAGTTGCGGAATTTGTATAGAATAAATAAAGACAGCAATCAATCATGTTAAATACTACAGCAAGCTAGTTTGATATACCTGACTGTAAAGTCTCCACCATTTTGACAGATGCAGCACACACACACACACACACACACACACACACACACACACACACATATATATATGCCACTTCAGATATATAGATAGATAGATAGATAGATAGATAGATAGATAGATAGATGCCACTTGATATATATATATATATGCGATATTTTTGCAATCAGGGTTTTTTCCTATGTTGAAAGATGTTAAAATGGCCATGGTGGGATGAAATCTCTATTCATCACTTTCAGACCTGTCAGACATTTTATGTTGTTTCTTCTGTGACTTATGGGAGACTGGGATAGCACTATTTCGGCCTTTTTAGGCCTCTTCAGCCAGACACACCCATATTTTGTGACTCCTCCCTGTAGAGGTCAAATATTTATTTCTTTTGATAAAATGTCTGACAGGTCTGAAAGTGATGAATAGAGATTTCATCCCACCATGGCCATTTTAACATCTTTCAACATAGGAAAAAACCCTGATTGCAAAAATATCGCACATTTATACCTATGAATCAAAAGAAATAAATATATATATGCCACTTGAATCCTACATATCTTCTGAGAAGTCCATGCGACTCAGTGCACTGACAGGTAGTGCATCCTGAAGAACAGCAATGTTTTTTAACCTAGGCTCTCCAGATGTGTTCTGTTTACGGCTCCAAGAATTCTCTGTTGCTGGCCCTGCTAAAATCATAGCCAGGTAACAAAGCTGCAGTACAAGATCTTTGCAATAGGGATTGGCCAAAAGCAGGGATATCCACCAGATAGCACAGATATTCCTAATTGCTTTCAGTTCCTGTCCACTTCCTCTACCTGGAACACTTGAACATCTGAGATTATAATGAATGAAAAATGTATCACATTCTCATTCCTGTTTTCTTAGATATACACTGGATGTCTGCAAGAGGAAGAGCTGCCAAAGAGCCAAAGGTGATGTTTTGTAGTTGAGCTTGTTTTTAATGAATTAGAAGATGAACTCTATTGTCTGCATTTAGCTAAGAAGCCATCAAAGATTTATAAGCAGTGTTCTAAGATCTAAGGTGCTACTACAATGAAGAATGGGTCAAACTATTCCCCAAAGCACCTAAAGCCAAGACAAGAAATAATGGATGGAAGCTAATCAAGGAGAGAACCAACCTAGAACTAGGGAGAAATTTCCTGACAGTTAAAGCAATTAATCAGTGGGATGACTTGCCTCCAGAAGTTGTGGGTGCTGCAGGACTGGAGGTTTTTAAGAAAAGATTGGACAACCATTTGTCTGAAATGGAATAGGGTCACCTGTTTGAGCAGGGGGTAGGATTAGAAGACCTCCAAAGTCCCTTCCAACTCTGTTATTCTGTTCTGAAAGTTGTATGAGCACAACATTTTTAGCCTCTTGTCACTTCATTGGTTAAATTTCCATTTTTAATAGGATAAAAAAAAAAAAACCTTACAGACCATTAATATGTAGGATCACTTTATTTCCCTTGTGCCAAATACAAAACATCCTCTTTGATCTCTATCTTAGGAGTTTTTGGTTGAGATGGGCAGGAGAAAGCACTGCAAATATCCATGATTAGGGTTAGTTTCTATTACTATCCCTTTAATATAAACCTCCAAAATGATCACTTAAATCAATAATTATTTAGAGACCTGGGAAAAAATTGATTCTGCAGTTAGTCATATACTGTATGTCTCATAATACTATATGTGGATGAATAATAAATCATGATTGATAATTTATTTTCAAAGTAGCAATAGCATAAGGTGATAGTAATATTTTACCTGATTAGCATTCACTTTATTGATTTAGGATAATAGAATCACTAAGTTGAAAGGGACCATTTAGACCAGTGTTTCCCCACCTCAGCAACTTTTAAGATGTATGGATTTCAACTCCCAGAATGCTGGCTGGGGAATTCTGGAACTGGAATCCACACATTGTAAAATTGCCAAAGTTGGAAAATGATGATTTAGACCATGAAGTCTTAGCTCCTGCTCAGTATAGGAATTCAACTTAAAACAACCTACAGGTGATTGGCCTCTGTTTAAACACATCCAATGAAGATTCCACCCTTGCTCTGGATAATTGGCTCCATTGTCAAACTACTCATATTATTAGGAAATGTCTTCCAATATTCATTTGGAATCTGTCTTCTTGGAGCTTAAATGCCGGTTTTTCCATATACTGCCCTCAAGAATGAAAGAGTGCTGGAAAGCTTGGACTGCTATCATATAACTTTTTTTTTTTAAAAAAGTTACCCACTTCTTTCAATCTTACTTCATAAATCTTAAATGTTAATTTCCTGATAATCCTCATTTTCCCCCTGAACTTAGTCCAGCGTTTCCTAATCCTTCTTAAAACATGGTATTCAGAATTGGATGAAGTATATATGAGGTGGCATAAGGACAATGAAGAATAAAGTGAAACTAAGGCTTCTCATAATTTGAAACTAAAATTTTTACATATGCGCACTCACATTTTCAGTTCTGCATGAGGTGAACCGGTTGTTAAATTCTTTTAAGTCCCCTTCTGAATCAGCTTAATCTTATACCCATTTTTCAGATTCAGACCTCAGAAGAAAGACAATGGCCATACCATATTCCATTATACCAAAGACTCCATTAATAGGAGAATATTGCTAATCAGGACTTCTTTCTCTCTCTCTCTTTTTTTTTAGGAAGCTCACTCTTTCTAAATGCTGAGGCCATTTTTATTTTCAATGGCGTTCAAATTAGGCTCCAGAGAAATCCAGAGTTTTCTGAGCATTTATCAACAGTGACCATTAATGGTACACAAGATTCCCTGAAAATATGGTTGCCTGCTGCTACTTCTGAGGTAACATGGTTATAAGGAGTGTCGGATGTATCTAATATAGGAACTGGTAAATCTTATCACCTTCAGATTTTTTTTAAAAAAATTTCCTTCTCTGAAGATTGTTTCATCCCATTTGTATGTCCATTTGCAATTTTTTAAAGTGAACATTGGATCATAATAAAATAAGAAATCATTTTCAACTCCATTTCTTCATCTGCATTTACAGTATATATTTTTCTTTGATGTGCATTCCAGTATAAATATTTTGCAAACAATTTTCTGCAATATTATTCATGTTTATATGGTATACATTATGTTTGTAGCAACATTTCCAATGAGAAATTTCTCACTGCAGGAGTTGTGCTGGTTAAAACATGACACTTCCTGCAGCAGACACCTAGGTTTCACAAAGTTCTGCCTATATTAATGGCCAAATGTCCAAAACCCTCCCCATTTTTACTGTTGAGACAAGGCTACTCTACTACTCTCTTGCTGTTCAATATTGTGATTGATGTAGTCACGTGGAAAGTCTTTGCCAATCAGCAGGATGTTAGTTCATCACAGATCTAATCAAATCAAATCTTTATTACAGTCAAAGCTCAGCATAAGGAGATAGGGTTCAGTCAATTGAAAACATAGAAGATACATCAGTCTTAAAGAAAATTTGAAAAACAGAATGTATTCTTAAAAGCTTATAAAGATTTAAAGGAAGGACAGGAGCCTTAGACTATAGAGAAGCATAAAAAGTTAGTATATGAAAGACTATATCTATATTTGATATATAACCAATTTGTGAACTAGGTGCTCACTAGGCCTAGTTTATGACAAGTCATCATCCCATAAATTTGGAATGCTGCTGCACAGAATCTGGCAGCATTGTATATTGTGACATGGTTGGCATCTAAAAGTATCAGGGAAGTGTAGAATTGTCCTGGCTATTAATAATGGTGGGATGAGGCTAGTATGAATATCTCTGTAATACAAGCACTTGAGAAGTTCATGCTCTGTGGTTTCTGTGTGTCCAGAATTACAAGGTATTGTATCTCTGGGTGAGGAATCTTTTTGAATTGGCCTTCAAGGACAGCTGAGTGGGGGGTATAATAATGTTCTCTGGTATTTAGGAACTTCAAATTTAGTTAAGTATGTCACAGGGGAGGGAGAATACCTATTCGATTTATAGACTCTAAAGGCTGAGGTCCTGACTAGAGCCAATTGGGCACTCTGTATCTGCTACATGCTGCTTAATGAGTATTTTGGCCTGATGGTATACCATGCTGGAGAAAAGCCCAGGGATGACATTTTACCACTGCCTGTTTCCGTTTGGATTGTTAATGAGCAAGCCAAGGAGAAATAAAGAATAATTTGAGCCAGTAAGTGAATATGGTCACCCACACTCTAGCCTCCACTTTCATGAAGCTTGTCTCAGAGTTACAAGGTGACATTTGAAACACAATTTGAGTCTTGAAGTGCTGATCTTACAATTTTGGATTGTATAAATTCTAATGATGCAAAATTGGAGAGTGGGACTCAGCTGGACATCCTAAAGAATTTGCCTATTGGCTTGGCTTCCAATGGTGTTACCAGAATATACAGTAGTGGCTACATCTTGGTTTAAGAAATTTAAGAATGGCAGTTAATCTCCTCTGTGCATTTTCAGCAACATAGTTCCTGAGGGATTTCCTATTGTCAGCAGAAAGGATTTCTCCCAGATATTTGAAAGAGGAGATATGCTCAATCTTGATCTCTAGGAATAGCTCTTGGGCCTTTGGCAAATGCCATAATTCTAATTTTTGGATAATTGATTTCTACTTGGCCTTCCTTGCAGTACTGCATTGATATTTTAAATGCTCTTTTAAGGCTGATAGGTATCCTTAAAATACCTGCAACATCTGTACGGAGCAGAACAGAGATCTAATGTTTGTGGACACAATGTGATTTTTGCAGACAGTGAAAAAGAATCCAAACATAAAAACTCCATACAGCTCAACTATCAATAAAGACAAGACCAAGGTATTCATAACCAATGGCTCTAAGGCAACTATCTATTTTGATAGAGCTCAACAATTTAAATACCTTGTGTCAGTAGTCCAAGAACATAAAATAGCTGCCACAGCTAATAACCATCAATCAGCTAGGCTACCTCAGCTTTCAAAACTCCTGTATGGTGCCTTTGATAAAAAGGCAGCATAAGCATTGGCATGGAAATGCACATCTATCTATCATTAATACTAGCAGTGCTCCTTTATGGATATGGAATCTTGACTCTTGCTTCAAAATGATTGCTGTTAATGGTTTTTTCCCCCAAATGCATTATCTACACCAAATATTAAGGATTTCAGTCCATCTCAAAACACCTGAAACCATTAAATTATTGCTGCAATATCTGCACAGAGCAGAACAGAGATGTCTCTTCCAGCAAGTTTTAAGGAGTGAAAGTTTGTGTTGTGGAGATCTAATGTTTGCGGACACAATGTGATTTTTGTAGACAGTGAAAGAGAAGTTGCAAGCAACCTGTGGTGGCTGATGAAATTAGAAGCAACAAATGTGGTGGTTTGGACAAATCTGCTGCAAGGCCACTTCATAACTTCCTTTCTGATTGCTCTGGAAATCAAGTCTTGAGAGTTATAAAGTAGAGCTTTTAAAAAACCACTTGGCTGAAGGACATGGAAAAAGATTTAGTGTAAGTTAAACTCAATCTTGATAGAAGCAAAACTGGCCCACGATACACAAAATGGAAGAAAATGCTATGTGATGTCAATGGACCTGTAGCACCTGTAGGCAGATGCTAGTTACTCTATGACTCTCTACCAGATGTGAGCTAAGCACTTTCAGTTCAGGTTCAAGGGTATTATTCTAACATTTATTTTCCTGAATGCGTGCATTAATTCCCCATTCCGCTCTCAGACTTTTGCATCACAAAATTCAGAAAAATATGACAATTGAAGGATGGTTGCATCCAGTTTGCATTTCTGTTTAGGTAAGTTAGATTAAAATTGCAAACAAGTGAATTTCTCCATACTCCATGTTCAACATGGTATGTCTGAAAATAGATCATAGGTTCTAAAATAAGCCTCCAAATATTTCATGATGCTCAGTACCAAACAAGCTGATGTGAAAAAGATTTTCTGCAAATAACAAAGCTATTTTCTTGTTTCTTTAAAGGACGGGTCCTCAAAAGAAGGAAAGATAGCTCAATGGGAGAGAGTGTCTGTAAGCAGAAGAACTGGATTCCCTGACCTGTCTGGGTTCAATGGATTGGGTAGCTGGAGAACTGCTGCCAATCAGAGCAAAACAATTCAAGGTCAAATGAGCAATATTTTGACCTGGTATAAGGCTTCCTTCTATGTAAAACCTTCTGGCCTGTCTCTTCTGACAGTGGTTTCACTCTGAGGAGAAGTACATGATGAAAACAGCAGTACTGTATTCCCATTTCTCTTTCAGCCAGATATTACATCTTGATACTGAACAAAAGACAGGGCATGCTTATTTGTTTTTGTGGGCTTTGATTCATTGATCTCTTTTTAAAAAAAAACAACAACAATGGGGCAATTCTTTTTTTTAAAGGCTAACTTTCTAAAACGAAAAGAAAAAAAAGTTTTCACCTACAAGTGTGACAGCAGTCCTGCATATTTTGCACCCAAAATAAAAATTCTGTCTACATAGAGGCACTAGGTACTATAATATTATCAAAGACAGCTTCCAGTTACCAAAGGTTTAGTAAAACATGAATTACTTTAGCCTGATTTCATCAATGTTACCTGGTGAATGTTTGTTTTATAGATCATTATGGGTTCACAGTGCAATATCTATATCCATATACTAATACGTCCAAATATTATTTGGAAAAAAATGGTTAAAATATTTCATAAATTCTTAAATATTGTAAAATGATCATTAAAAAACCCCCTCATAATTTGATTTTTGCTATCATGGCTCAAATAGAAAGCAGGCACTTTTGTTCTACATATAATATACAAATTAATATTTAATAAAAAGGCACATTAACTTAATATTACATACTTATTACTTCAATGGGACTGCATTCTGTGGGGACCTCTGTAACAGATATGGCAGCATTGTAGTCCTATACACATATATTTGGGAATTTCTAAATCAACATGGGTTGTTTTCATTGTCACTTGAATCAATTTCTGAAATATTTGGGAGCAATCACTTCAATCTACACAAAGGATCTCTGGGAATATTATTCCTGAAAGAGTTATGTTTGATCCTGGGATATTACTATCTCCATACAGCTTAACACAGCTGCCTGCAATTACTGCTGATTCGAATCTCTCCAAGGCTCAAGGTTGACTCAACCTTCCATCCTTTCTAAGGTAGGTGAAATGAGGACCCAGTTTGTGGGGGCAATAAGCTGACTTTGTATAAAATATACAAAAGTATGAAGGCTATTGCTTAACGCAGTGTAAGCCGCCCTGAGTCTTTGGAGAAGGACGGCATATAAATCAAATTAAAAAAAAAAAGTCTCATTAGCTCTGATGACTGAAAATAAGACTAGGAGAAGCAGAAACTTCTGCTAAGATCACTCTTGTCAGCAATAATAAAAGGGAAGGGAGAACCAATCACAATGGGGACAAGGCTAAAAATGAAAGAAGTTTATGAGCAGGAGCTTCAAAATCAAACTCAGATTAAGACACTGGCTAACTATTTCAATATGCATAGATTTGACTTTCATTTTAATGAGTTTGGGTGGAGGCTATAGGAAACATTCTTGAAGAACAAGCCACTACTGAGGCAATAGGAATGTGAATTATTCTCTTGGGCCAAGAGAATAATTTTAGAAAATAGGTTAAACATTCTAATGCATTTGCTAATGCAGGAGATAGGGCAACAAAAATTTATGAAGAACATGTTTTGCTGCCAATACTTGTTTCAAATAACATAAACACAGGAGCTATATAAAGTCAATACCAGATGGACAACACTGAAATCAAATAAGATGAGCAGAGCAATATCATAAAAACATACACCTATCCTATGAACAGTAATCTTGGAAAATATCTGATAGAAGCAACTGAAATTAAAGAAAAACTGAAAGACTACACTAAATTCTTTTATAAATGGGATTAGAGAAAGATAGAAATATTTCTATCTATAGAGAACCTAATGAATCAGTCCTGCACTAAATAAAGTTTACATGATTAGCATGCAGAAACACACATATTTTGAACAGGTGAAACAAGTGGATGATGGATTAGAAAAAAGTGAATTGGCTAGGTTGAGTAACATACATGCTTGTAAGCAGGGGTGGGCTGCTGGGGGTTCACAGGGGTTTGGGAGAACCTCTAGCTAAGATTCTTTGCAGTTCGGAGAACCCCCAAATCCCACTCCTGGCTGGCCCCACCCCCCACCCCTCCCTCCCCTCCCCTCCCAGGAGTCCCCATGTGGCCTGTTTTGGATTCAGGTAACTGCAGGGCGAGTGCAGAGGCTCGGGGAGGGTGAAAAATGGGCCTACTGGAAGTTTGGGAAGGTCAGAAATGGGCCCGTTTCTGGCCTCCAGAAGGGCTCCGGAGGCTGAGGAGGCCGTTTTTGCCCTCCCAAAGCCTCTGGAACCTGGGGAGGGCAAAAATGCCCCCCCGCCCATGGTGCAGGAGGCTGACTATGCCACATCCACCATGGCCATGCCCACCCAGCAACCGGGCAGAGAACCCCTTGCTAAAATTTTTGAAGTCCACCCCTGCCTGTAAGAGATGGATGGCAGAGAGGATGGGAAAGCTCAGAGCAAGTCAGCTGATAGATTAATCTTATAAATAGTAACTCAACACAAGTAATGAGACCTCTAAAGGAGGTCAGGAAATCTATATAAAATTAAAACTTTTGTAACCTTCAGTTGGATGAAATAGTACATCACGGGACAATTTTTGATCCAAAGCAGCCCAAATAGTCCGGTGAGATTGGATGTGCAGCTGCAGAAGGAGCAGGAGCATTGTGGCTTCCCAGGAAATAAGAAAGATATTCCAGAGAGGGACCCAAGGTAAGAGACTCTGCAACCCTGAACTGGCTAGAGGAGAGAAGAAAGAATCCAGGGTAGCCACAGCCTAAAATCTTTTTTTATATAAATTTGTAAGAAATCCAGGATAGGGGGTTTCAAGCTTTGCAAGCAAGGGAGCTTGGCACTCCTGAAAGTCAATATAATGCATTTCTGGTCCCAGTGAGAATATAAATTGTGGATATGAAACCAATCCATCCCAATTCTAAAGGGAAGGGCAAAGGGAAAGCCAAATAAAGAAGCACATATTATTTATGGTTGCAAATAGTGAACAGAAGAGCTTGTTCACAAATTGGCCCAAAACATAAGAGCCTATCATTTATTACTTCAATTTTCACTGAGTGTTCTACAGGCTCAATGGGAAGATATATTTGCACACCATGGAACCGTTTATTAAGTTTCCAACCAGAATCCATCAGGATTTGAAGTTCTTTTGCAAAATCAATCTGAGTTTGAAGAATAACAGGGAGGACAAAATGTATTTAGCATCACAGCTTTAAGTCCTTCTTCATTTTTTCCCACCACTACCACCCAACTTCTTGATTGCTAAGGGAGGACAGAATTTATTTATTTTCTGATCATGGAGCACATGGGACATCTGCTTCCAAATGCTGGTTTTACTATAAAGCCAGCAAGTTGTTAATGAAGAAATTCATTAATTCATTAACTACATAGTAAAAGTGGCAAGCCATATATATCATATAGCAGAATCAAAGTTCATTTCTTACATATTTGCCAATAAGGCTACCTCTGCACACATATCAGTATGCCTCTACTTGCCCGCAAGGAGCAACTAAAGGTAGAGGTAGCAATAGCAACAGCACTTAGGCTTATATACCACTCTATAGTGCTTTACAGCACTTTCTGCACCGTCTGCAATGTCAACATATTACCCTCAACAATCTCAGTTCTCATTTTACTGATCTTGGAAGGATGGAAGCCTGAGTCAACCATGGACTGGTCAGGATCAAACTCCTGGCAGTGGGCAAAATTAGCCTGCACTACTGCATTCTAACCACTGTGCCACCATGGGATAAGAGAGAAAATCCTAAAATATCTGAGATAGACACATGCACACAATAAAATCACAACAGAGTCTTTAATATTAAATAGTTAGCTTACGATTGAAACTTTTATTATGTAATAAATAAACAGTGATTCTGTTCTCAATGTTAGCTAGTAAGATTGTTGGACGAGCAAGCATAAAAACAGCCAGGGAAGTGATTGAATTCTGGGAAAAGCGCTCTTTGTCAATCAACAGAAATGCTGATTTATCACCAGCTTACCAAGTACTTAGAAAGCAAGGACTGGGCAGTACAAGAAAAAGACAGCCAGTGACTTAATAGCCAGTCATCAACACACCCCAATCAACATCTAAAAAGCCATATACAACAGGCACCACATAAATACCACACACAGAACAGCACACCCTCTGCTAGAAAGTTGTTCCCTAAAGATGGCAACAACTTGGGGCTCCAGCACGAGTCCAAAAGCTTGGTCCTGGTGACCAATCCTGATTGGATAGCAATAACACTTAGACTTATATACCGCTTCATAGTGCTTTTTACAGCCCTCTCTAAGCGGTTTACAGAGTAAGCATATTGCCCCCAACAATCTGTGTCCTCATTTTACCCACCTCGGAAGGATAGAAGGCTGAATCAACCTTGAGCCGGTGAGATTTGAACTGCCAAACTGCAGCTAGCAGTCAGCTAAAGTAGCCTGCAGTATTGCACTCTAACCACTGCGCCATTTTGGCTCTCAGATCTTACAACATTATTCTGAGACACATCATCCTGAGCCTTCATTCATTAAACTTGTAACTGGAAGACAAGAGGGGACAACAGGGGTGGTATTCACTTACCTTTGCTACCGGTTTGCAAATGTGAGCGCATGAGCCGCCTCCACACATGCACAGAGCCTTCTGTGCACGCGCAGAGGGTCAAAAACAGGACATGATGATGTCCGGGTGGGTGGGTGGCTTCCCGCCACCAACGCTACCGCCGGATAGAGCCAGCTGAATTTCACCACTGGGGGGGGACAAGTGATAAATATATATCATGACACAAATTCCATACCTTTTATATTTGCATATAAAAATATATATCTGCATGCAAATTTGTGAATTTCTGAGAGTAGGCAGTACTCTGGTATCATGACATATATTTCATTATTTTGCATTATTGTGATTTAGAAGGGATACCTGTACAAGATTTTTTTTTTTAAATAATCTCTGTCTCTCATTTTCTTACCGCTGAATGTTTTTATCTCAAGATTAAGGCTCATTGTCTATTCTAATATGATTTTGATTATTAATGTATTTATACCACAGAAAAACATTCACTTTTTTTTTAGTATTTGGATCACCGTTGGCTATAGTGATTGCTTGATAGTGGCTATAGTGATTGCTTGATAGCCTTCATAAAGCCAATGCAATTCAAGGATCATTATGATTACAGATGAAACAAAATGAACAAGAGGAAACATTTGTCATGCATTAGAACACGATGTCTATTTTATGAATAATTTCTAATTACACTAAAAGCTACAGATTGTACTAGCTGAAAGGAACAACCTTTTATTAATGATATGAAAATTGTTTCAGAGCCACAAGTTTCCATTACAGGCCTGAAATTTTCAGAAACTTCTCCAAAGAACA